CAACAGGAAGGAGATGGGCGCCGCGCGTGTTAAATAGAGAAAGAAAAAAAAAATGGAGATTGGGTTTTTACCTGGGGGGAGGGGGGGGGGAACGGCAAAACATCTAAAACATTAGATTCCCACCCAAAAAAAGAATTCCTTTCAAGCCACACTTTTTGGGTAAGTCCCCACTGCTTTCCCCCCTCCTTCCTTGAGGAACATGAATCAAAGCCAGAGAACACGAATGCACCAGGATGCTGCTAACTGCGCAGGAGGGCGCAGCCACTTGTTCGCGGCATTGAGCCCCAGGCAGCTGCAAAGCAGCATCGAGTCCTGCTTCACGCCTCGCCGTGGCCACGCATCTGTGCGACCCGGGGGGCGGTTGGAGAGCGCTTCAGAGTCGAACCACCCCCCAAACCCCGGCCCTTCTGCTTTCCCGTCGCAAGTGGTACTCACTTTCAGCTGCGACTTGGACACTTTGCCACTCTTCTCCACGTCCAGGGCGGTGAAGGCGTACCAGATGGATTTTAAAAGCTCTGCTCGCAGGTCCATGGCTAGAGGCACCGATGACAGAGGCTGCTCTGTCAACGGCGAGGATCCGGTTTCAGGAAACAGACTCCCTCGCTTCAACAGACCTCGGCGAGGCGTGGGGAGAGGAGCAGGAGCGCCACCTGCCTCGAAGACACAGGTCCCGCAGTGCCACCCAGAGACCGGCACCCTGGGGCCCACTCATCTTGCACTCACAGGGCATTCCTCCTGCCACGTTTGCCCCTGCAGCCACCCCCTCCTCTGACCTCCCCCCTCTCCCAGGCTGAAGGCATGCAAGAGCTGAGCACCCAGGATTTGGAAGTGAAGAGCACCTACTGTTCCCTCTGCACATGCTCAAGGCACCATACAAGTCATTCCCTGCTCCCAGCTCAGCAAGTCTCTGACCTCTCTTGCCTGTTTGATGCTGGAAAGGGGCCCAGAGCAGGCCTCACTGACACCCCGTGCTCCTAAAACTGCGACATATCGCTCTGCTCCTAATCTCTGCAAGGCGGGTAGCCTCGGTGCAACCGTAAAGGGGAAACGCATGCAAAAGGTCTGAGAAATGGAGACTTGGGCTCCTTTTGAAAGCGGCACAAAACTGTGACTCACAAGGCAGCTGTCAAGGTGTCACGACCCTCTGGAAACCAAATTCCCCGCCGCCCCCAGCTGAGAGATTGGGGGTTTTCTTGCAAGCCTTGTATCCAAAACACAGGAAGAAATCCCCACTGTCCCTTCCTGGGTAGTTGGAGGGGCTCCCTGCTCTCAGGTCTTAAATGCACAGGACACTTCATTCCAGCAAGAGCACAGGCCAGTGTCATCCAGGCCACCTTACCCTTGGCACTCGGCCTTCTCCCCCCAGCTCAGACAGTGGTGGTAGAAAGGGTTGTGGGGCTGCTGTCCGACTTGCGGGCAGCTACTGGCACTTTTGGGGACTGCAAGTGGGTCCTTTCTTGAAGAAACCTTTTCCTTTTGCACCTTCAAACTGAGACTTGCAATCATTCAGGGGGCTGTGCATACAGCAGAGGAAAGGAAGGAGCGATTGTAGTACATTACATGCCAGCATACCTCCAGCTGGGGTCACCTAGACTAGAGGCTCTGTGTGGACTCTGGCAGCTAGCACATGTTCGAACCCATGTTTTCACTGTTACTGTTATCCATGCTAGTTGGATAAAGACAGTACGGGGCTGCTGCCACTGTGCAACAACCACTCTCCAAGACAGACCAGTGACAGTGATGACCTCCTAAAACCAGGACTGGGAGAGCTCTAAGAAGAGTTATGGCTTGATGGACGGTCGTGGGACTGGCCTAGGACTCATGGTTTCCATTCTTTGGAAGGCCCATGGGGAAGGTTTAGAAGCCAGCGACACTTGGCTTGTGTCCACACCCCTCCTGCTCACTGCTATTAATAATCACCACCTTGGCGTGGCTTCCTGACCATCTTGGCTAAGTCACCTTATCTCCTCTTAAGGCTCAGTTCCCTCCAGCTGGAAAATCCAGCTCTACCTCACAGTGCATTGTGAAGGATAGACTCGGATCAGTGAGGAACTACAATGACCAGGACCGTGCCAGCTGCAGGAGACAGAAAACAAATGAATGGGTACAAGGCAGGGTATCATCAGAGCAGGGAATCATACATTCCTGTTATGGAGGCGGCAGGGGGAAGAGAACTGTAGGTTTCAGTCCAAAAGTGGGGACAGAAAATGAGGTTCAATGCCCTAGGGAGAGACCTTGCCCATCTCCTACTAGACCTGCCTGGACCTAGATGCTAAGAGCACACTGGGTGGCTCATGGGATGCTTGGGCAGGGCTGTCCAGCTGCGTGCGCCCACCCGCATCCACATCCCCTAGTGCTGAGGCCCTGGCGCACTGGTCAGTGCCTCAGCGGTCTGGAGACCTCTAATGCCGGGGAAGGAAGAGAAGGATGGATGTTTAGGAGCTCTGTTAAATAGGCATCGAGCCCACTCCTGCGGGTTCCAGGGACGGGACAAGTGAGCGTGGAAAGGATATAAAAACTTTAATTTGTTTCATTCCAAGTCATTATGTACCAACTCAGCCCAGCTCAGTCCCCGAGAAGTGTTGGTGTGCTCAAGCAGAGGGAGTGCTTGGGCCTGCTCCACAGCAGCGGAATCTGTAACTTGGCCATTCAGTCAAAATGGGTGATCTGGGGGCAGGGCTGTGGCAGCCAAGTTGATGGGGTCCTGCCTCTGCATGCTGGGGACAGACTCTGACACCCAGGGGGGTAGGGATATCACCGCTCAAAACACTGGGACTGGGACAGCCTGGGGTGCTTTGATGGTGCTTTATTGCTTGGGTGCAGATGCTGCCTACTTGCCACTTGTGCAGGAATTTCCCAGGAGGGGAAGGGGGTGGGGGTGCTCAGACCATGTGCCCATTCCTACAGGCTTTGGGGTAAGACTGCAGGAGCCACCTCTCTGAACCACTGGCTACCTCCCCTTGGCCCTTGCTGCTGGGATCTCTGCGGCTCCATGCGCAGGGCAGAAGATCAGCACAATTTGGAAATCCTGGCCACAAATGAGTTAACAAAGGGATATGAGTTTCCTCCTCTTCAGGCCTGGGGAAGGTCCTTCTCCATGGAGAGTGAGCAGGTTCATCCTTGAGCTACAGCTTGGATCCCAGGACAGTTTTGGGGCTTCTCAGAAAGATGTCCTAGAAAATCATGGGCAAGCCTTTAAAAAGGATCCCTAGGCAGCCCAGACCTCTCTTGCATGTGCTCTCACGGCCTGCCAGGTAACCCGGCCAGGTGCAGGTAACAGACAGCACAGACCCCTCCTTGTATTTGCACACTGCGGTTTGTCTTCTGCGTGGCAACTGGCAGGGAAATCCCCACCCGAAAACAAGAGTCCAGTCACTGGCTGCCCTGGCTCAGCACGAGCCTGCCTATGCATACATCAGTGCCGCCTCAGCACCCGTTCTCAGACACAGCTGTGCTCAGTGTCACAGTCTCCTGTTGCATTGCTGCTGTTGCCATGCTGATGGCCTCCTCCAGGCTTTGCTGTTCTTCCAGCTACAGAGGGGAGGAAAGACACACACAAATTCATTCTCCTAAACAATCCATGAGAGGCTGGGGCAGAATGAAGGGGAGAAAGGGAAGCAAAAGTGGTTGAAAGAGGAACATGAGTGCTGGGGAAGCACAGCAGAGAGGAACACAGGTGCTGGGGTAAGCAGAAGGGTGCAGGAGAGCAGTTATGGTGTGCTGCATGCTCTCAAGCTTGCCATGAGTAATCCATGCAGCACAGCCACCAAGCAAAGGTGCAGTAAAGAGAATGGAAGGGGGATCTGGGTAGAGTCAGGTGAACAGAGAACATGGCTCAGGCCTGGCCTGGTTCTGAAACAGTACCTGCACTGCAATATGAGTGCCATTGGCAGTCGCTAGCAATGCCACCTGCTGATGATGGAGAGAAGCTATAGTCGACTCTTCAGACAGGACAGCCCCAGGGGCGACTATTGTAATCTGGAAGATACAAGGCAAAAATAAATCCATTTACAAGCAAAGTGCCCCAGGCAGAGTATTCCAAGTGAGGAATCGGGAAGGCTCCACTCCTGCTCCTACCGGCTGCGCCTCGGTGCCATCCGCGCTGACCACAGTCACAGTATGTGTGCCGGAAGCCGCGAGGTCTCCCTGTGGCATGGTGATGGTCCCGCCCTGTGTCACCATGCTGATCGCGCTGCCCAGCACCTGTAGGTCCTCATGGGACAGACTGACCTGGGAGGGCGAAACAGAAGGTCAGCCTCCGATAGGTCCGTGGGGTGAGACTGACACCCAAGAGGGAGAACAAAGGGGCTTCTGGAGTGAGGACTGAGAAGCCAGACCGACATTCTTCCACTTACTGGCATTGCCAGCACCTTTTCTCTACTGCCTTCTGTGCCAGCAATTCCTCATTTTAGCAGCACAGCTCCCAGCAAGTCGAGAAATCTCATTACTCATTTTACAGCCACACATCCAAGACATCGAGAGGTGAAGCAACTTGCATGAGACCAAAGGCAGAGTCGATCCTACATCTGGGAATGCAACCCAGGAGTCCTCCCTGTGGCCTCCAGCTGAAACTACTTGACCACAAACCCCTCCCACTCTGCATGTCTCCTACCCTGCTCGTGAGGGCAGCTCGTTTCATTTTTGTGGCACCCTAGTAACAAAGGAACTGAGAAACCATTGCTTCCTTAACCTTGTGCTGCAGAAATGGCTCTTACATTCAGTTTGCAGGCCCTGCCGCAGCTGGTTGCTTCACAAGCACAGCAGGTGGAAGTGGTGACTGGCTGCTGGGTTGTCATTTACATACTACAAAAAAAATAACGACCAAATCCAGCCGACCTCAGCAGAAACTGAAAGGTGCTGCCATCTGATGACTGCCCAACGGGCTACGGCAAATGTGAGGCTGTTTAGTTCCCAAGGGACACGTGCTCAGAGCACAAGTAAAGCCTTGTCTAGCTGTAGTGTCCCTTTGTCTAGAGGCTGTAGGTGTAGCTGCTCTGCTTCTGTCCCTGACTGATGGCTACACTTACTGCTGTCCATACAGCTTCTTCTCTCAGCAGAAGAGAGCCCCAAGATGAAAGCTAAGATGAAGCCCAGCACCCACTGGACACCCCAAACCAAGGACCCAACCTTCTCTATTTAATGGGATAAGAAAGGCCAGAATATTTGCACCAGAGGACGATGAACGTGTACGACTGGCTGAGGTAGGACCAACATTAGTCACCACACTCCAGCCTCTGGATAGTCCTAGTCTCTGTACCTGCTGTGTCCCATCTTGGGTGATGAGTGACACTGGGGTAGGCGTACTGTCCTCCTCTTCCTCTTCCTCCTCCTCTTCCTCTGACAGGAAAGTAATATGTCGGCGTTTTGGTGGGGGGCCCTTCTCGGCAGCTTGGGCAGAAGGGAAGGGAAGCGTCAGTGATGCGGCCATGCTTGGTAATGTGGCACCAGATGTGGTACTGTCTCTATGACATCCGTTATTGAAGGGATGGGGCAATGCAGCAAACAGGAACATGGGACCGTAATAACAATGGCAGGACACTGGGCTGGGGGGTGGGGCTGGGGAGTTTTTCTTGGTGGCCAGAGCTAGGTTTGAAGAGGAGTCAGCAAACACAGGCTGCAGGATTCATCCTCTCTCTGTGGCAACAGTCAGGTCCACGAGTGGGAGAGGTAGGCTCAAAGCTGTGTCTGAGTGACAACTGCAGGCTCAGTCTCCAGAGCCATTAATTTGCTATACTATCTAACCTGAGCCCAGAGTGATTAACAGGGAAGGGGTCACTCACCTTCCAGCTGCTGCTGCTCGTAGAGGGCCTGCTCGCTCTCCTCAGTGGCCTCCAGCTCGCCGTGGGTGTTACGCTTGTGCATGGCCAGCGTGGAGGTCTGGCGGTAGGTCTTCCCGCAGCTATTGCAGGTGTAGGGCTTGCAGTGTGTGTGCACCACGTGATGCTTGTACAGGCTGGAGTACTCTGTGAAGCGCTTCCCGCAGCCTGGCACCGTGCACATGTATGGCTTCTCTCCTGGGGGCAGAGAGGGAAGACACGCAATGGGACGGTGCTGCAGCACTTAAGTTTTGCCTGAGCTGCATCAGCCTCATCCTGGCCATACCAATGGGGCCATGAGGCATAAGGAGGTGAGATGTGATCAAGGCCACCCAGAGAGTCAGTGGTAGAGCCAGAAATGGACTCCAGGAGACTACCTTCCTGTGTTCAGACCAAATCCGTCTGCCTGGAAAATGCTGCCCAGAGATTCTCCCATCATGCACAGCTCTCTTAGAGTTAAGCTTAGCAGGGTGGTTACAAGCATATTGGGGGACTGGCAGGGTTACAAAATGCTTGGGTTCCTCCATATAAAGTGCACGTGCACAGCTTTTTCCTGAAAAAGGCATGAGGTTTGTATTGTGGAAAACATGAGACCTGCTGAGTGACAGGATCAGAGCAAAGGCCACATTCTCCCGGAAGGTCTGCTGAGTGTCTGCTGCCTTCTTGGAGGGTTTTAGCTATTTTACAAGGGAATGGAGGGCTGTTTCCTCTGCCCCCCCTTACCTGTGTGGATCCTCATATGATTCTTGTAGTTGGTGGCACTGGTGAACCCTCTTCCACAGCTGGGCTCGGGACACAGGTACGGGCGCTCCCCCGTGTGTGTCCGGACATGGACCTTCCGAATGTTGGAGGTGGTGAAGGAGCGACCACAGCCTTCGAAGGGGCATTTGAAGGGGCGCTCGCCTGTACCAACACCAAGAAAGGCACCATGAGGTTTCTGGGAGGCAAGGAGGACACCTAAGTAGGGGACAGGACTAGAGGTAGTGGCCTCAGGCTGTAGCAGAGGAAATTTAGGTTGGAGATGTGGAGGAACTTTCTGCCTTGGAGGGTAGGTGAGCACTGGAACGGGCTTCCTGGAGAAGTGGGGGAATCTACATCCCTGGAAATTTTCAAGAGCCGGTTGGAGAGATATTTGGCCAGGATGGTTTAGTCAGGAATGATCCTGCCTTGAGCAGGGGCTGGACAAGGTGACCCTGTGAGGTCCCCCCCTGCCCTACTTTCCCATGATCCTATGACCTTGACACCACGGGAGCTGAAATAGAGATTCAGACCTCCTTACCCTGTCTGCTACATTGAAGAGTCCCTCCATCCCATGCCCTTTAGGCACCTCAACAATCAGGCTTGAACTGCACACAGCAAACAGGCAGATGCAAGGGACTGGAAACGCATGCCATTGCTTGGTGCCTGCCTTGGACACTTCCCCAGGGCCAATGCAGCCTCTGACAAGGCTGCCAATTGCAGCCACGTTCTGCTGGAAAGGGACTAAGACCCAAGCTCTTTTGCCTGCCCTGCTTGTTAACATGCATCAGAGGAAATGGCTGAGGTGGCTATTGCTTCTTCCTCATTATGTCTGAAGATGAGACCAGGGCAGACTCGCACTGAGATACTAAGGACACAGGAGCTTCAGCCAGGGTGTGAGCACACAGAGGTGCAAATCAGAGGGCAGTGGAGAGCACCTGCTGCTGTGCTCATCTTGGTGGGGAGCTCAGTTCTCTTGCCCTACAGTGATGCTGCCCACCTGTGTGTGTCCGGGTGTGTTTCTGCAGGTCCCCAGAGGTTTTGAAAGCTTTGCTGCATGTGTCTTCTGGACACTTGTAAGGCTTCTCACCCGTGTGCGTTCTCACATGGCTCTTCAGCCCGTACCCTGAGGGGGAAAGAGGCCGCACGGAGTTAGCGCTGCAATCAGCTGCAGATAACATGACAGCACAGAGAGAATTTGTCAGTCTATGGACCGTAGTCGGTCTTTCTCCGAGGCCTGGAAACTGCAAGAAATGGTCCTCCTGGCCTGCCTGAAAGTCCAGGTTCAAGCCTGAGCAAGGCCCAGTTAATTTTTCATCTTAACACAATAAGTGGAGTCGCTAACTACACGCAGGGCCTTTCTGACAAGGCTTTAAAAACAAAGCTCCTGTTTTCCCTGGTGGAAACACAGAATCAAACCCCTCCATGTGAGAGCCCCCCCGACGAGGGATTGACAACTCTTACCTGTGGCAAATGCTTTCCCGCAGCTGGGAAAATCACACCTGTATGGCCGGTCACCCGTGTGGGCTCGCTCGTGCACCTGGAGAGAAAGGACAGATATCTAATGCAAAGTCATGATTTAAGTGGGCTGAAGGGGGCACTGAAAAGGGGGATAAGGCAGGGAGCATGTTGGGACCCTTCTGCCACCCTAAACCCAAGCTGCCATGTCTGTCCTTGCACCAAGCAAATGAAAGAGCTTTTTCCATGCCCCCACCCCCCTTCCCCCTGCTAGCTACTAGGCTTGTTGGGACACATTTGGACTTCAATAAAAGGTGTAATTTGAAAATGGATTTGCCAACACGTGTTAAAACCCTGACACTAACAGGGCCAAGATTTTACCATGTTGGCTGGCTGGGACAACTCTTGACAAGAGGCCAATGAACACATGGTAAAAACACAACAAATCAGCTCCTACATTTTTAAAATACAATCTTTTATTCTCGTCTGGATAAAGCCCCATCTAGCTCCTCTGTTCTACGTGAAGATACTTGCTAGCAGCAGGAAAAAAAAGTGTTTAGTGTGTGAGACAAGGAAGCAGATCTGTCTTACAGCTAGAGCAGACACTGGTGCTGCTCAGCTCTGCTTTGGAAGCAATGCAGCTTGGCAGCCTGCCACAGCTCAAAGAGGGATGGGCTGACTGTCTCTCTTCCTCCACACCCCTTCTGGGTCCCAGTGAGTTCAACCTCTCTCCTCAAGGCACCTGTCTTACTCCAGATCCTTGAAGGCTGAATTCAGCTCCCCAGATGGCTAGAAGACATCACTGAGAATGACACACTTTTTCTATAAGGATCCTGGCCTCTTTTCTCTTTTCTCCTGGGGTCAAGTCTGTGTATCCCATAGGGCAGCACTCTGAGCCATCAATCTAGGATGGGGTAGGGTGCAGGATGAAAGCTTGGGTTTATCTTTAGCTGGCATACCTTTAAATGGTGGGCTGTGGTATAGAGACGGCCACAGCCTTTGTACCCACAGCGAAAGGCTCTGTCGCCAACCTGCTGCCCCTTCCCATTGCTGCGCACTTCCTCTTCCTGCAGATCCTGCCACAAGACACAAGAAAGCTAAACCAAAACAGCAACCACAGTGGTCTTTGCTGAGTCCAGATGGATCTGCACACACACAGTGCAAGCCAGTGCTTAGATCAGGGCAATCTGGAGCCAGGTTTCCAGGTTCTAGATCCCAGCTCACTGTGCACAGATCGTTTCATTTCTCTGGGCTCCAGTCCACTCATCATAAACTAGGTAGATATACTTATCCACCTTACACAGGTGTTGCAAGACTTCACTATCAGGTTGAAAAGGGCTTTGAAAATCCACCCAAAGTGTTATGGAAAGGCTAAATTTTACTTGCATTATTAAGTACTATGCCATGAGCTGCATGAGAAAGTCATGATGACCACCCTAAATTTCAGCCTGGCAAAATTCTCCAAGCCTGTTTTCCCAATGCGTGTCATTTTTTGGAAGGGGAAATTAATATCATTAGTTTTGCCAGGGAAGACAAAGAGACTATGAATCTGGGCTAATATACCTGCAGGATGAATCTGCAAGCTTAACAGTTGCATGACACAAAATAGCCACGTACTGGAAACAGGTAGACGGAAGCAGAAGGCAGTTCTAGAAGGATGTGGAATTGACCAAAATAGTCATTTTGGGTGGCTAAATCAAACCTGGCACACACAGGGTCCCTCTCGCAGGTTGTGACCAGAACCGGAGAGGTGATGGGATAGAGCTCAGCCTCAAATGAGCCAAGGAAATGTCCAACTGCAAAGTCCAAACCTGAGAAGGGGCACTGTTCGGCTCCTGTGGCTTCAAGTGGCAGATGCTAGCAACTCCCTCGTCCACCTCAGAGACCTGCAAGCAAAGAAACTTTGCATGTCCTTGTACCTACTTGTGCAGCACAGAACAAGTGACTGAGGCCTAAGCAATGACACACTTATCCCAGCACTGCACAGTGGGTCCAATGCTGCTTTTGGTCTTGTCACAGTAGGAAGGGTTGCAACTTGGTCCAGGTGCTGTTACTTTGAAATGTTCCGGGGAAGCATGAGGGCCAAGCATGAAGGGAACTTGCTACTGCTACCCACATCATTATTCTGAATGTGAACTTCAGGAAGACGACAGATCCCAACACCCACCGCTTCAAATGGAGGCCACTCACAATAAGAGGAAGCACTGTAAACTAGGAGCAGTAATACACACAACCAGTTAGGCAGAGCAGCTGTTGGGGCCTGAATATATGATAGATGTTAGGGTCATGACTGAAAGCCACTGCTGACAAGAAACATCTTCCTTCCTTCTCACCGGGAGCATTACAAACCAACAATCCTTAGTGGAGAGAAGTGTCTCACATCACTAATTATTTCTACTGGGAAAGATTAGGATTCCTTATTGCTTAGACCAGGTTGAAAAACATTCAGCCCCATGGGCCAGATGATGCACCTCCAGAGGTGGGGCAAGTGATGATGGGACCAACCCCTTGCATGCCAGCCCTGCTATCATAGCAGCTCTGGTACCCACAGGGTGTTAGCCCCACTTCTGCTCACCCCACCACAGAATTTCTGACTTTGTGGACTTGTGGGCTGTATGATATTCCCTTGAAGCTGACTGATGATATTAAACAAGACAGACTGCACTGTCTTGGTGAGAGGAAAAATAAGCTACGACCTTAGTGCCAGGGTATCAGTGCGGCATTTCACTATAAAGGCTGGGACATGGAGCTTCTGTGAGCTAAGCTGTTTGTGAAAGAGGCAGCTGATCAGAAAATAATGTAGCCTAAAAGCCATCTATAGCAGGATCTTACTCTGCTCTGGAATCACAATATGCTCCATAAACTATATCCTTCATCCACTACTGCAAGATGGCCCCCTCCAGAGTGGAACAAGGTAGCATTTAATAGCACATGACCACATCACATCTGCAGGAAGGAAGATGAAAACACTAAATCCGGCTGAAACTTTAAGGGGAATTTAGATGCATCAAATTAAATCACATCCAGTGAGGCATGAAAGCAACGAGACATTAGCCTAGCTGTACAGAGCTCATTGTGCCTCACTGTGCGAGAGGTGGGGAGAAAGCTAGGCCATAATACAGGATGTGGGTAGTCCTGATTTGGTCTACAGGTCATATCCTGCCTACTAGCTAATCAGCTGTGCTGGCATCCTCACCTTGCTGGTGTATTGCTTGAGCGCGTTAATGGTGTCAGTGTCAAAGGCATCATCTTCCTCCTCCCCGGCCAACTCTCCCACCTCTGTTTGCGCCTGCACTGCCAGGATGGTGCTGCCAGCTGGCATAATCACAGGACGATGGATGTAGGCAGTGGTGAACCGCTTCCAAGGTGCTGGGGTCATAACCCTCTGAAAGGGACCACACAGATCAAACAGTAGTAGAGCTGCTGTGTGCTGACTGCTGCTTGTCTAGCTTTTGATCATTTAGAGTTGGTAACAGAGGGAGGACTAAAGCTTCAGGGGCAAGGCAGTGTAAGTTCAGAAATCAAACCCCCTTTACTAACAGATCCCACTTTTAAACTAGAAGTATTAATCCCATTCCTCCGGGGCTGAGAAGGGCAAGAAGTGAAGGCTGGGACTGTCTAGGTAAGGAAGATGGACTGGAAGGGATGAGAGCCAGGACTAGGACTTGGAAAGTTGGAGGGAAGGGATCAGAAAGAACTGTGCTTAGCCAGAATGGGGAGAAAAGACCTATACCCACATCATCATCCCCCACTTTGGAATGGATCACATGATTTGCCTCACCGTTCCTCTGCCCCAGCAACTGTCTGCAAAACCCACAGGAAAGGTTTGTTTCTCATATCTAGTATGGACCCACAAAGAGGGTGACAAACTATACTATCATCAGCAACTCTGTTAGCCTAAGTGAGGGAAGTCTGTGCAGTAGACCCAAAGATTCCAGACCACAGATGACCCATATGATGGCACCTTCACACCATATAATGGAGGATCTCTTTTTTAACTTGCTTTTAAAAGAAAAAAACAGGGAATTACATACAGAAGAGCTACATTAAAAGAAGGTTATCAGATTAAAAAGCTCAATGCCAAACTTCAGAGTGCCCATGGGACAGCATTTGGCCCTTGTGTCTGGATGCCTAATGATACAGCCTCTACATGGAGCAATCTCATGGGTAAAGCAGCTGAACACTGCCCTGGAGAGCTATTTCCTCTCTCTTTGAACAATAACTGATACCCCAGCTATATCAGTGTCTTTCTGAAGATGGCACTTATGTGTTCTGCCCAGTTCCTACCATCCAAGTGGCAGACAGTCTTAGAAACCTGTAACATTTTAACATCTCAGATGTCAGACACTGGGGGAAGACAGAAGAATTCAGATTACCTTTAGGGGCAGTATGTATATACGCCATGCTGCCATCCTCCAACACAACTGGCTGCCCATCTTCGAAAGCTACAGATTCTGGGGGAAGAACAGAACACCAAACACACAAAGCACAGGCTGGGGCGAGGAATTTCACTGCAAGCTCTGAGAGTCAGTCTGCTCAGCTCCCCATACACAGTAACTGTTCAGAAGGGCTCAGTTCAGAAGTGTCCTGCTGGGTTTCAAAGCCTGCCACAGTACCCAGTATTTGCTGGTTATCTATACAGCTTAGCACTGCCACAGTTAACTAACTGCTGAGCTTGAAAGACCTTCCACTCAACTCAGCAACGTTTCTTTGGAGATAACACAACTTACCTTTTGGACACTTAATTTGATCAAGTTTAACTTTTCCCAAAATGCTCTACGTACCGGTGAATAGAACCCCATGGGTTGAGAAAGCAAAAACCCAGAAAAGGGGACATTTGAGAACACATGGAAACTTGGCCATTCCCTCTGATAGCTCAATTAAGATTTTCCAGCATAACAACAAGATTTATCCGGCCTCCTAGTTGATCTGATAATCCAGACAAGAAGCAATAATGCTGATAAGGGGAGGGAGGAATGAGGCACACACAGAACCCTGGTATGGAGAGAAAGGAAGGCATGGGGGAATGGGAATGAACATGAAGTCCTCTGCCTAAGGGAAAAATAGGGCCCTGTGGTATATGTGGAGGAAGAGGACAAGACAACCAAACCCCAAACGTGGAAAAGAAGGAATATAGGAACAGGAGCTATGGGGTTTTCTACAGGGCTCTGGGCATGGAGAGAGATAATGTAGGACTATAGCATGGCAGGGAAGAGAATCATAGAAAATTAGGGTTGGAAAGGAACTCAGGAGGTCATCTAGTCCAATCCTCTGCACAAAGCAGGACCACCCTCAACTATCTCATCGTAGGCGGAGGAAGAAAATATGATCTGGGGGGACTCAGTGCACGCGTGCGCATGTACCACCCTCCATCAGCAAGTAAGCCTGTCATTGGGGGGGGCGGGGCAGATCAAGGCCTCTGCAGTGAGGCAGTGGGGCAGGGGCTGGGGTGAATAGGGCCCTGGGGGTGCGTGCAGCAGCAGCAGGAGGCCCCCACCATGTCCCTGGACGAGCCGTCCAGGCAGCGAGCATTCCCACGACCCAGCCCAGGGCCCCATTAACCCCCTCCCCACAGGGGCCTCAATCTGCCCCCCACCCCTTCTTGTCTACAAATTTACTTGCTGGGTGCTGCTCCACACACGGCTGGGCCAGGCTGAGACTCTGTCTGTGCTCAACCCTCTCCCCTGTCCCCTGCAGCCGCTCAGAGCCCACGCCCATGCTGCCTGCATTTTGTGGGGGGCTAAGCCCCATTAGCCCAGACCTTCTGTCACCTATGTATCTCATCCCAGCCAAGGCTTTGTCTAGCCAGGTGTTAAAAACCTCCAAGGATAGAAATGCCACAACCTCTCTGTGAAGCCTGTTTCAGTGCTTTACTACCTTCCTAGTGAGAAAGTTTTCCCCCAATATCTAACCTAAACTTCCTCTGCTGCAACTTGAGCCCACTGATCAAGTTGAAGGTAGGTGAAGGTTGCTATTAAATCCCCTCTTGGTCTTCTCTTCTCCAGGTGTCCCTGGCGTGGGGAGAAGTGGGCCATGAAGGAAAGGCTCGGGCTGGGGTCGTGAAGAGTCCCTGAAATAGTAAAGGGTGCAAAGGTCGCTCACAGGAAACTTGTGGGGGACAATAGCGGGGTGAAAGGAGCAGCAGACTGCCGGTTATCCCTTCACAACACCTCATCATAGCTGGCACAAGATGATTATCCCCTGCTGCCCAGCCAGAGGAAAATAATTCCCATAACCTCTCATCTAAGTTAGTTCCATCTCATTTCAAGTCTGATAGGAAACCAGAGAGATCTAGCCAGCCTGAGAGAGATGTGGCTTCTAAAACTCCCCTTTGGAAACTAATCCAGAGTCTCTCCTTAACTGTAAAGAAAGAGTTGCTTCAGGTTCTTCACAGCTGAAAAAGACCATGCTTGGACGCTGCCCATCAAACACACATACTTGACAAGCTTACACAAAAAACCACAGAGTTTGTTGAACTTCTTTTTAGATTTGTGAAATGACAAACACTGGACTACTGGGGCCAAATCCTCCACTCTCTTAAATCCTCCACTCTCTTCCCCTGTTGCTGCTTACATCAACAGTACATTTGGCCGCTTGTCAGTTTACTGCAAATTTCACAGGAAGTCAAAGGTTTTACACTTGCATTCAGTCCGCCCTGGTGGACTTCACACACACACATTCACAGAAGTATAGGGCTGGAAGGGACCTCTTCCAGGGGGAGCTCAGGGGAGATGAGTCTTGAGTCACATCAGCAATGGCCTTCTAACAAAACAAGGAGATATTCCAAATGCTTCCTGAATTCATTCAAACTGCCCTCACCTTTCTGGACTGTCACTTGATGGATATAAGCTGTGGTCCCATCCTCAAGCTCGATCACTTGCCCTTCAATCAACTTCTCTTCTGCAAGAGTTTAAAAAGAAAATTATCATCACTGATAGCAGTACTAATAAACCTCCCTGCCCACGGGAGGGTCCTGTCCCTCCTTCATAACCTCTTGCCCTGTCTTCTTAGCAAAACAGTTGTATGGGCCAGTATCACAGTGTAGTGGGTGATCTGAAATACAGACCTACATAATAACAAGTCCTACACAGTAACGGGTATTTTTATAAATGCCAGAGAGAAGATAACGCCCCCCCACCCTCCGCCCCTCAAAGGTTACCTGTATGAAAGAAACACAGCAAGGAATCTTAATCATAACTTTTTTTTTTAATAGTCTACAGGTTCTTTCATCAATTTTTTAACCAATGAGGAGGAAACAGAGCAAAAATGCTGTAGTCTCATTGCTAAGTCTCAAGCCAGTAACTGATTAAAATAAATGATGGGGACTGCCTTTGACTTCAATACTCCTTCCCTAATACTTAGCTCATTACTTGAGTAAGAAAGGTGTTAGTGCTAAGTTTACTCTATGCTCCTCAGACATGCAAAACTCCCAACTTGAGTTCAGTGGAAGTTTTGGCTGAGTGAGGAATTGCAGCCCATATAATAGGCGAATGCTTACCACTGCTGGGTAAATCCTACCCTTTGTGTGCATTTGCTCTTGTGCGTGTTATTTTCCCTAAGGTTGAGTTAAAGAACCTACCAGATAAACACAAGGTCCTGACCCCGAGCAAGTCTACAAGGCAAGCAGCAGGTAACATGCTACACGGACGACTTCCTCAGATCTAATTTTTCGCAGCATCACACACCCAGTCAAAGGGCAGGCCCTGCAGCCCCAGCAGCTCATACCTTTGATGGCCTGCTGAATATAGGCTGTCGTCCCATCAGTGAGGGTCACCGCTTGCAGGCCCAAGCTCTCCATAATGCCACGATGAGTGCTCCTCAGACATGAACCTCACTTTAATCAACACTCTCCTACAAAGCAGCTTTCTGGAAGAGGCGAACAGATTTCTGCCTTGTTACAAACCTTAGATGAAAAGAACATTCCAAATTAGATTGTCCCCCAAGCACGCTCTTTTTAGCACAGAAGAGGCAATGTGTTAGTTGACCCAGCTTGCCCGACGTCTGTATAGACTGAATCGGCTTTAAATAAAGGTGCCAGAAAGCCCTGCTGAAGCACCCAATCTATACAGATGCTGCAGAGCTGGGTCTCAGTAACAAGCTGCTGCTTCCAGTAAAGCACTTCTTTTTTTAATGTCTGCGAGCAGTCCATAAGAACAAACACACTCACGATCCTTTCAATATCCGGCCTGTGAATTGGCAGCATGGGGGGTCACCGTGGGATGCTATGACCATAAATGGAATAAAACTTCATTGCCAAGTGCGCTGACAGAGTCTCATTTTCTTTTCAGGTGCAATGACCATTTATTTAACAATCTCATGTAGTTCTTACCAAGGGTCTCCTTAGGTCTTAAGGCACAAATCAACCAAATGGAAGTGTACTTTGCTATACGTTGGGACGTAATGGAAATCCTTTATCAAGGAGGTATGTACACATCTTCATCCTTTCTTTACATTCACGTTCCAACTCGCACCTTACCCTGGAACCAGCTTTTTGCTTCTATTGAAAAGCAGATCCTTCAGGATCTTTCTTTTAAGTGAATCTATTACAAGCAGAGGAGGAGGCTGGTGGTTTCCTCTCTTCACCTACAGAATAGGCAGGGCATGAGCAGCAGCAGAGCAAGACTCCTCTGTCAATATTCCCCGATCTTGGCCTGAAGGGATCAACGTTGAGGGTTTGTCTTTATGGGGAAATTAACCGGAACAGAAAATTGTGGTATAAAATTCTTCCAAAACATCTTCCCACGTGGGCACACGTATTCCAGATTCAGAATGGCTGATTTTGGTTTAGCTTAACCTGCCTGAGAGTGGATTTAAGCTAAACTGGAAGAAAGCACTCTCAGCCCACAATAAGAGCACTGCTCAGGGAGCTATTCCAGAGTACTTCCTTACAGGAACATAAGGGAAGGTCCGTTTCTGCTGTCTGCACAGTTGCCAGTGTTTCTCCTGGCACCACTGCCACAGAGGTGAAATATCATTAGGTCCTGTATAATTGTGACAGAAGTGAGCACGTTGACTTGGAAATGAAGTAAAACCCAAAGTCACTGCACATAAAATTGTGGAACTGCAACAACTGTGAGAGTCACAAACAACTTGGGCTGGATTTGAACCTAGAGGAGAAAGACTCCTGTATCCCATGACCAGCTCCCTAAGCCATCCACTCCCCTTGCAACAGCACTGTAATACGAGATGTCAGTCACATGTGCCATCAATAAGTTACTTTAAAATCAGAGATTTACCAGTTTCTTTCTTTCTAAAAAGTTTTTTTTTCGGGGCGGGGGGCAGGATCAGAAGGGCTGATCAATTCTCCTCTTTGTCAAGTCGCCTATAGCTTCTATCGTATAGTATAGCCGTATAGCATACATATTGTATAGTATATATGTATCCTACAGTATATCCTATAGTATATACTCATGTCCTAGAAAAATCAAAACTTTGCTGCTCAGACCAGCAGCTCTGGGGACAGTAGTATGCTTATTCATGTCACCATGCATTGCTGCAAACAGCCCATAGCTCCAATATTGCAATATCCAAGCTACTGTCTCTACGGTGGGCTCAGCAATTTGCAGGAAGCATCATCAGACATTAAGTCCAAATTTAATTTCATGTTCGAATCTGTGCAGTTTTACCAGTCCCCACTCCCTGCCTTTCTGTGGTATCAGATCTCCTGGGGGCAAGGAAGACAGAGGCAGAGGCAGCTGCCTGTGTGCAAGGATGCCCCAATCGGGCTCTGCTGCAGCAGCTCCAGCTTCGCACTTGGAGTGCCTGAGCGCCTAGCAAAACCACTGAGGGCAGAGGCAGAGTGGTGGCTTCAGCAGCGCCGATGTGCGTGTGCAGCTGTTCTGCACGTGGACACTGGTAGAAGAGTCAAGTTCAAGGTTAGCGTGGCATTGTCTGCCACGCTAACTCACTGAAAACACCCCTTTCCTGAACTATAACAGCGACATCGCCACCCAGGTCCTAGCCGTAGCAGCTGTTGGGATATTCGACTAGTCCCGTTACCTTGCCTGCTCATCAGATTTCAAAACATTACCAGTTAAGCCAGTTTCATTATACCCATTTTACAGACTTGCCCAAATTCAACAAGCAGATCAGTGTTAGAGCAAGGAACAGAACGCCTCTCCCCCACGACACAGGCCAGTACTCGGCCCACTTGCTCACGCTGCCTCTACTACTCCTGCATTTACCCAACACCTTCTCCATTCCTGTAACATGACCCCAGAAGGCTCTAGGGCAGGGGTGGGCAAAACGCGGCCCGGGGGCCAGATGCGGCCCACCAGCCCATTCTATCCGGCCCGCAGGGTCCCTAAAAAATTTAGAAAATTAATATTTATCTGCCCCTGGCTGCCCTCGATGGCTTCCCAAAACTCAGTAAGCGGCCCTCCTCCCAAAATAATTACCGGCCCCTGCTCTAGGGGCAGGTCTCATGTCGTCTGCGATGGCTGAACTGCAGCAAGGTCTTGATCCTGCCCAGAGATGCTCCTGTGCAATTAAACAGTCGCCCTAACCGCTGTAACCACTTTAATATTAGTGCGCACATACCCCCCCACCCATGACTTCGTGCCACCCTCGTAGGGCAGCCCTCTCTGTGCGGGAACGCACTCGCACAGGCAACGATGATGGCTCGTTAAATCCAGCTGGTTGGGGAAAAGGCGGCGAGATGTTTAATTTTCCAAAGCAGCACTGAACAAACTCTGGAGCGGGGCCAAGACGGGCAATGCTGGGGGGGG